AGTGCTGGGATTAAAGGCGTGCGCCACCACCGCCTGGCCTACAGCTGTCATTTTTAAAAGGGGGCTCTGTACGTGAACTAAGGTCTTCCTGAGAAGTTTTTCTCTAGCCCATATACAGTTGAGTATCACTAGATACACTGTGTGTGTGTGTGTGTGTGTGTGTGTGTGTGTGTGTGTGTGTGTGTACTGGGGATTGACCCCGGGTGTTAGGAATGGTAGGTAAGTACTCAATAACTGAACTATGTCCCCAGTCCTAGTACATTCACACTATATAACCATCAGTACCACCACAATCCAGTGAGCTTTGACGCTAACAGCCAATGGCTTTATTTGCTGCTATAAAGTGGAGCATATTCATTCCTCAACATGACTGCATATGAAAGCTGGCCATCAAAGAGAGGCAGGACAAGGAAAAAGGGCTGAGTCCTGGTACTGGTGGGTAGGAATTTGGTCCTTTTTAGTTTTTATTTTTCCTTTGTGCCCATCTGTATATATTCTAAGTATTAATTGTAAATGAGTTTGAGCTACTATCTGACAGGCATTGCCACAAGTGCCTTATATATACACTGACTCCACTACTCCTCAAAACCACCCTGGGGCCAGGGTGGCACATGCCTTTAATCTTAGCACTTGGGAGGCAGAGTTAAGTAGGCTCACTGAGTACCAGCCAGGTCTACAGAGTTCTAGGTCTGCCAGGGATACACCATTGAGACCCTGTATTATAAGAAACAAATAAAAACAAATTTAACAAATATCGTCGGGGTTGGGATTTAGTTCAGTGGTAGAGCGCTTGCCTAGCAAGCACAAGGCCCTGGGTTTGGTCCTCAGCCCTGAAAAAACAAACAAACAAACAAACAAAAAAACAAATATCGTCAGTATTGCATTTTATAGGAGCTAAATGTGGACGAAGCATAAAAGCATTCAACTTTTAGTCTTTTCCCATTGAGAAGAGTCAAGGACTATTAATATATACTCCTCAGCTACATGGCAAATGACCTATCAAAATTTCAAAGCATGGGTAGAATATGGTTCAGTTGGTGCTTGCTCAACACAATCCATCACCATAGAAACCGGGAGGGGTAGCATACACATACAATTCCAGCTCTGGGGAAGTAGGAAACAGGAGGAAAAGTTCAGAAGGTCATCTTCAGCCAAGCTACCTAAGGAGATAGGAAGGTCTCAAAAAAATAACCAAACAAAAACAAAACTCAAACCAAACTAACCAAGCAAAAACAAAACCCCAACAAACCAAACCCCCCAAACCCAGTGAACCAGTGGGGTCTGTTGGCTCACGCCTGCAATCCCAGCACTAAGGTTTAGGCAGGGGGGTAATTGCAAGTTTGAAGGCAGCCTGGGTTTCATAGGGAGATCCTGATTCAAACCCTTGGCCACCCCAGTCAAAGAACAATAACTCAACTACCAAACATTCAGGGGTGATGGTACACCTGCTAATTTCAGGACTCTTGAATACTCTTAGGCTTGAGGATCTGGACTTGAGGTCAGCCTAGGCAACACAGCAAGACTCTTTTCACAAAATAAAATAAAAAATGCTGCAAAATGGAAAGTTTAGGCCTGAATAATTGCAAAGATTAATCTCCAAATATTATTCTGCCAATGATAAGGCAACTTTGATCCATATTAGAAAAAAAATGACCCCAGTATTTACTTTTTATGATTTTTAATAAGCTATTCTTACATGTACACTAGCAATTGTAAAAAGACAAATATTTGCTACCAGAAGTTACATACTGTACAACTTATGAAAAATATAATTAAAAATATGCAAAAGTAATAAAGGGAAGTACTTCAAATAGAATATGAGATTTGTACTTAAGAAATGTAACCAGAAAATGGGCAGCATCTAAGTGGACCATGAAATCTGTTTTAGTTCAAGCCTTTTGTTTACATTACCTTAGTTAAACTTTCCAATGGACCCAGGGCTATGAAAAGTGCCTGGCCGGGCAAGGACCGTTTTAGAAAGTGAATGGCATGGCCGGGCGGTGGTGGCGCACGCCTTTAATCCCAGCTCTCGGGAGGCAGAGCCAGGCGGATCTCTGTGAGTTCGAGGCCAGCCTGGGCTACCAAGTGAGTTCCAGGAAAGGCGCAAAGCTACACAGAGAAACCCTGTCTCGAAAAACCAAAAAAAAAAAAAAAAAAAAAAAAAGAAAGTGAATGGCAGAAGCGGCACTATCTCCAGTTCCCTGATCCTCGGCCCCAAGTTCAACTGCTTCCACAGTTTGCGGCTATAAGCTGGCCTGGGGCAAGGGCAGCTTTCTACTCCTGGTCCAGCTGTTGCTCTGCACTTGAGTGGCTCCTGCTTCTGGTCTTTGGTCTTAACTTGATATGTCAACTTTTCTACATGCAGGCTTCAAAGGACCATCCAAACCCAACTGCCACGGGCTGTGCACTTGTGTGTCTGACTCTTCTTTCTCAGGTAACAGGTTAATTTCAGTGTGCAGAAAGAATGCATTTTCAATGCAGGACAAGTATGCTCATGTGAGTAAGAACAGAGCAAGAGTCTTCCCATGTTTTAAATAACAGATACATAGCATCTTAAATTATCATATAGTTAGCAATTTTAGACATTGAATATAATACACTGTATTACAATGCAATGTGGTAGGCTTCCATTTAAGGAACAAAAATAAATTTCACATGAAAAGATTTATTTTGATTCACATAAAATACACTTAGCATAAATGTAAACTGCAGCACTATAGTACTCAAAACAGAGAAGCTTGGAAAGGGCACGTCTCCTCTGTCCACAGCAGTCAAAGGAAAGTCTTTACAGTCACTCATCGTCCCCTCGCTGTCTCAGATTCCGAGATCTCCCATTTTCAATTCTTCTCTTTTTGAAGACTGGAGCCACCCCATCTGCTGCAACTCCCAGAGAAGAGACTGTTTTTTCTTTAAATACCACTTTGATTTCTCCAGCAGCGGCTTCTGAAGTTGACAGATATTCGCTCTCAGTGCTTGGAAGTTCCAAATCGACCTCTTCCCTGGAACAGAAAGAAAACTAAACTCTAACCTGACAGATTAAGATAAATATTGGATATAGACCACGAGCCACTGAAGCGCCATGAGCACCTTCTCAATGGATCAGAAGCTGGTCACCGGGGACACTACGCTGTCCTGTTTTGGCTTTTTTGGGACAGGGTCTCATGTAGTCCTGGCTCACCTTGCAGCCCCTAATGTCACCTTGAGTTCCTGAGCCTCTGGCCTCTGGCCTCCAGACCTCCAGTCCTGGGGTAGGTGTGTACTGCCTAGCTCTAGGTGATTTAAAATACTGATTTTAGTCTCAACACATTGCACTCTGATTGAGGTGGACATGTGCCAGGACAGGTCTCATTTGTTCTATTTCTGCTGCACCAAGGACACAGCATCATAGAAAACACTCTGCTCATACATGACATGAAGCATAAACAGGTAACAGGGAAGCTGTGGAGACCGATTTTGCCATGGACTGACAGAGATTCTGAAGGTTTACATAACACAAGATGGAAAGAATGGAATCTTAATGTCCTATTGTGGAAGACTCATTGAACTATTTGCCTAGCATCTTTTTATTCTGAGAACTAGCCCTCCAACTATCCACGTGGTAAGTCATAAAAAATCTGGCTGGACCAGGAATCAGTTCCCTGCTTAACATGAGCCTACCAGTACCTTCTCCCCTAGACCAGTGGGTCTCAACTTTTATTAATGCTGTGACCCTTTAATACAGTTCCTCATGTTGTGGTGACCCCCCAATCATAAAATTAGTTTTGCTGCTACTGTTAGGAATCTTCAGTAAATATCTGTTTTCCAATGGTTTTAGGCGACCCCTGTGAAAGGGTCATGCAACCCCCAAGGGGTTATGACCCGCATACCGAGGATCACTGCCCTAGGTAGTCAACTAGTCTATGAAAGACCTGGCTCATCAAATCCACCCATGAGATTTCTGAACACAGAGGAGGAAGATCATCATATTCAGTAGATAGAGAATAAAGCAGGCAAACAGAGAAAGGCCGAGATGGGAGATGAAGAATCTCATTTGTTTTGACAATGTGCTTCCCCCCTTTAGATTTTATTTTTATTTTATGTATGATAGATGTTTTGCCTGCATGTATGTCTGGAGATCACATGTGTGAAGTGTCCACAGAAGTCAGAAAGGGGATGTCAGGTCCTCTGGAACTAGAGTTACAGTTGGTTGTTAGTTATCACGTGGATGTTGGCAACTAAACCTAGGTCCTCTCCAAGAGCATTAAGTACCCATAACAACTTAAGGAATCTCTAAATAAATAAAAGCTTTTATTTTTATTTTATGATAGCTACACTTGGGGTCTTCTGTACCCCAGACACTGCATGAGGCAGCCGGAGTAGAAATACCTTCCTCGTACTCTGGCTCTTCTGTAACATCTGTTCTCTTCTTCCCAGTATCAGCACCAGCATTTGTTTTATTAGCCTTTCCTTTAGGAACCACTGAGTCCAGGTATGTTCATTCAGAATTACTAGTGATGAGCTTGAGAGTAAGAGCCGGTCCAGGATAAAAGTTAGCCAGGACTGCTTTAGCTGTTATTAAATTTAAATTTAATTTAATTGAAACTAGGTTAGTGAGTTTGAGGCCAGTCTGATCTACTTGAAAAATCTAAATAAATAAAGAAAATAAGGAAAAAAAAAAAAAAAAGAAGAAAGAAACTCCGTCAATCTACTTATGAAGCTGGAAACAACCCATCACATATTAACACTGCCTGGTGTTTTGGAATTTTTTTTTTAACACTGTAAAGGTGTCTCTGCCTAAGAGGCCTTCTGATTGGTTTAATAAAGAGCTAAATGGCCAATAGCTAGGCAGGAGCAAATAGGTGGGACTTCCAGGCAGAGAGAGAAACCGGGAGGAGGAATATAGGCGTGTGATTTCGCCAGCAGACTTGGAGCAAGTCTGATGTGCTATACCAAGAAGAGGTAACCGAGCCACGTGGCAGAATGTAGACTAAAAAATATGGGTTAACTGTTATAACAGCTGGTTGGGAAAAAAGGCTAAGCTAAGGCCAAGCTTTCATAATTAATAATGGGTCCCCAGGTCTTTATTTGCAGACTGGTGGTCCAAAGATAATCCGACAAGAAAGCTTGCTATGGCCTAGTTAGCCTGAAATTTAATTAGCATTAGAAAGACGTATCAATTTTGAAATAGGAGATGCTGACTTAGGACAATTATTAGACATGACGCTGACACTCTGAACAAAGCGTGCTTTCATAGGCCCTCCTTCCTTTAGCTCCCCCTCTCTCCTGCTGCCTCAGGCTTCGGCTGTAACCTCTCCCCCAGTCTCTTCTCCTTGCTCATGGAGCAGATGTCCTTTTGTCCACCCCAAATCCTTTCTCATATTAGACATAAGTGGGTGTAAAACCATCCTCCTGATTGAAGTGACAAGAACTGAAGAGAATGGACTGGTCTCTTACTCCAGTAACTCCCGTGGATAGGCATCAATGTCCTTGTCACAGCTGGGGAGTAAAGCCTGGTATACAGAGTTGCCCAGTACTTGTATTATTCTCCTATGAAAAAAGTACAGCCTTCTCATGAAAAAGCAGGGTGTAGTTTGGGTTTTGATAGCTTTTTGAGATAAGAATCTCACTCTAGTCCATGCTTTTGAAGATAATCTTGCCTCTGTTTCCCAAGGTGCTATAGATGTGCACCCCACCCTCAGCCAAGAATTTTAATAAGAACTAATTCACTATAAAAGTACATAAAAAGAATCCACCCTACACTATCCTTCCAAAGCAGTGTTTTAAAGAATATCTACTTCATCCACACACCTTTCCCCCTTCACCTGGAAGGTTCCTTTAAAGGCTTAAAAAAATACTAAAATGCATGCCAAGGAGCGATTTTTACTTACCTGGTAAAATAAATGCCTCTAAAAAGAAAACTCATTTAGGCAGTTAAAGCAGTCAAACAAATCAGGTAACATCTTTAGTACAACTGTGTTAAACTGTCGACAAACTATCGAGTTGCTGGTGGCAATGGCTTTACCAGAGGTCACGGCAGTATGCAACAGGTGACAACTCGTGTTTGGAAGGTCAACCCACCAGGGACTCCCTGATGGGGAGCCCCACCTGGCAAGGCTGGGGGGGGGGTGGTCATTGACTGTAAACGACTGGTTGTTTCCTGTCTGTAACTTTCTCATGTGCCACCATTTTACCTCCTCACAAAGAACAGCAGTGGGGTTCTTTCCACAGCCCACTGGGAATGTGTTTTACATCTTTGGGCACATATACTTGTGGGTGGTCAGGAAGATGACTTCTCGTTGGGCTGTGTAATTTTGACAGATGGACGATATGTTAGGATGTGCTTCATAGCTGGGTCTGCTGTCCCACAGAGACTGTGGACACTTAGAAGCCTGCTTTGTTACTTTAGCTCAGACTAACATGAGAAAACAACAGTTTCTCCCCAGTCTACAACAAGCTACATACATTTTGCTGATTTGAAACCTCAGAGCAGTTTCAAACTAGACTGAATGTTTCTGTAAATGGGTCATAACTTAAAAACTTTACAGAGATGCACAAGGTCAGAGTTGCAGACGTCTAACCAAGGTTATTAACACAAAGCAATGTAGATACGATGCCAGTTCTCTGATTGCTAGTCTGGTTGATAAGACCCGGCCCTCTGTGCAGATCTCTCTGCAGCCTGTCTCATCTGGCACTCTGCTCCCGGCTTCAGGTCACATCTTACACCAGGAACCTTGAAAACGGGCATTGCCATGGTTACTCTCCCCCTCAGATTTAGCCTTTCTACATTTTTTATTACAAAAAGTTTGTTGTAAATGTGTGTAGGGAGATGGAGGGAGAGCTGAGAAGGATTAGAGCTGAGAAGATTTAGAACTAGGGTAGAACAATAAAGAGGTGGGACTGGAACAGCACGTATGTGAGTTTTTCTGTAACCCTCAGGTCAGAAAAATCTAAGTTCCTTTCACTTTGCTGCGGCTTCTGCCCTACACCCTGGAGGTGGCTTTCGGAGCTGGACTCCAAGGCCACCAATAATCAACTCCTGCTGATGAGAATCTGAGCTTAAAAACTCTGCAGTATAGAGTCAGGTATAGCAGTATGCACCTGTTAGTACCAGCACCCATGAGGTGGGGCCCGATCAGTTCAAGGTTAGCCTGAGGCTACATCAGACTCAAAAACACCAAATCAAACCAATCAATCAACAAACCAACCAGAACAAAATCTACACTCATATAAAAAAACACTGTCAGCCTGAGGCTACATCAGACTCAAAAACACCAAATCAAACCAATCAATCAACAAACCAACCAGAACAAAATCTACACTCATATAAAAAAACACTGTCAAGTACTTACTGTATAGGACACTTCAAGAGAATAAGAGAGCAAAAGCTTTTTCTTTGCCTTTAAACACATTCTATAGCTAAAGTATCTTACAAAGTATTTACTGCAAGTATTTGGTTTTGTTTTTTTGGATAAAAAATGATGAGAATATGAATGTGGTCATACTTTGGTAGGAAACAAAATAATCACTTGAAAAAATCACTAACTTGTTTTAAAACAACCACTGTTTCATCTTTTAAAATTAAAAACATTCTAGAACTGTAAGAAAGAGCTACACTTCTGAGCAGCACAGGAGACTTGAGATTCTTGAGGGCAATGGGCTGAGGTGCTTGGACACAGCAGTGGATGACCTCGCAGGTACTTACTGAGACTCGGCCTCTTGTTTAATTTCTTGCCATTCCCCATAAGGGTTCGTTGATTTCTTAGGAGTTTTGTTAGGAGTTTTGGATTTTTCTTCGTTTGTATTTGATGGGTTCTGTTTTGGGGTACTTTTTTCTTTTTGTATTTCTGGCTCAGTTTTTTTCTCAGTACTTTTATTTTTTTCCTGAAATGCAAAGGCCAATAAACAACACACTTCAAGTAAAACCACAGTAGTCAATCCTCAAATTTCTTTAACTTCTTTAGAAAGTCTTATAATAATAATAATAATGATGATGATGATAATAATAATAATTCACTTAATGGTTTAAGTTTTCACATAACACAATAAATGTACATGGAAGAACTTAATCAGGTTTTTCATTATGTATAAAACTTTAATGCATTATGTTTAATGATGTTTTAAAAAAATGTACCATGACGGTATATAAAGGCAGTGGTGGTGTGTGCCTTTTACCAGCACTCTGAAGACAGAGGCAGGAGAGTATCTGTGAGTGCGAGGCCAGCTGGTCTACAGAGCAAGTTCTAGGACAGCCAGGGCTACACAGAGAAACTGTCTCAGGGGTGTGGGAGGGGTGGGATTAGAATAACTCCCCCATGGGACAGAAGCAGTCCCCACAGAAGTCCTGGGCTGGTTCTTTACGACATTATCTTCATTGGGCTAAGAAAGCCCTTTAACCCATTTCCCACACTTTAGTGTGTCCACTACACGTGTACTGGGTTTTCAGCCTCTTTGCAAATTACACATCAATGGGTAGCTTGCTTGGAATTTCTTTTGTATTCTACAAATGGCTCTTAACTCATCTCCTATGTAGCCCAGGCTGGACCTGAACTTCTAATTTTTCCATCTTAGCTTCCCAAGTACTAAGACCAACAGAATATGTCACCATGCTCAGCAACATGATTTTCTTGTTCCCTTTTCCCTAGACTGGGCCTCACTGCGTTGCCCTGGCTGACCTGGAATTCCCTGTGTAGATCAGCTGGCTTCAAACTCAGAGCGTTTGCCTGTCTTTGCTTCCCAAGTGCTGGGATGGAAGGGACATGCTTCCACATCCCCAGACATGATTTTCATAATAAATCCTCTGGCTTTTACTCTTGTTAGCTCCAAAATCAATGATCTTGACCTTCACTGTTTCAGCCACCTAGTATTAAAATACTGAGCTGTAGTCTGGAGATGTAGCTCAGATAGTGGAGTGCTTGCCTATCATGCAAAAGGCCTGGGTTGTTCAATTACAAGCACAGCATAAACTGGGCAGGTGGTATATTACAGTAATTCTATCATTTAGGTGGAGGCAGGAGGATCAGAAGTTCCAGGTCATCTTTGGCCACAGAAGAGGTTCAAGGCCAGACTGGGCTAGAGACCTTGTCTTAAAAATAAAAAAATACTCTCCCCCAAAAAACCCCAAACAAGCAGAAAACCACCCTCACATCATTTATTTATTTATTTTTAATTAATTAATTAATTAGTGTGTGTGTGTGTGTGTGTGTGTGTGTGTGTGTGTGTGTGTTTTTGAGACAGGGTTTCTCTGTGTAGTTTTGGTGCCTGTTCTGGATCTCGCTCTGTAGCCCAGGCTGGCCTCGAACTCACAGAGATCCGCCTGGCTCTGCCTCCTGTGTGCTGGGATTAAAGGCGTGCACGCCGCCACCACTCCCCGCAAAGCTCCTTATTCTTAATAATATTCACTTATTTAGAAATGAGACAACTTAGGCTAAAAGGTGAAGGTAAAGGTCAGTAAGAGGGCCCAGAGGGTAAGGGCACTTACCACATTAGTTTAAATAACTCAGTTCAATCACTAGAATCCACACGTATTAGTTTTGTTTGAGGCCATGGGAATATACAGCAGGTGACAACTAGTGTTCAACAGGTGGACCCACCAGATGAATAACTCTGATGGGAAGCCCCACTTGGCAAGGACCATGAGATCACTGACTGCAAATGACCAGTTGCTCCTGTCTGTAATTTATCTCATGTGCCACTACATTTCTTCCCTAAGAACTGCTATGGGTATTTTCCCACTGCTTGTATGTTTATCTCATGTATATATTCCATCTATTGGGCACACTTATAGCTGTGGATGGTCAGGAAGATGATTTCTGCTTAAGTTGTATAATTCTGATGAATAAAAATACTACTAGAATATTTTTTATAACTGACCCAGGAAAGCAACAGTATTCTCAGTCACAAAGACAGTTAATTTTAGACTTTAGAACAAATTCAAAACAGACTAGCTACCCTGCAGAGACAAGTTCCCAGGTGTTTATTGCTGAATCAAGATGAGACAGGAATGAAGCAACTTTGGTAGACATAATCCCTGCAGTACTGACTTTCTGCACGTACCCCTACCACCCGAGGTTCAGCCAACTGTTTACTGTTTCAGTCCTGAATTACAATGTCATCTTCTGTCTGGGAACCCTGACCACTTAAAGCTATGTACACGGCCAAGCGTTACTCACTGGCTGGTCAGTGTGACCTCCCTAGCCTGAAAGAAACCGTGTGACTTATCATGTGTTATGAGAATGGGTCGGACCCTGATATGTAACTTGTAATTGTCCAGAGTTTGGCTGTTAAGAGTACGTGTGTGTGTGTGTGTGTGTGTGTGTGTGTGTGTGTGTGTGTGTGTATGTGTGTGTATGTGTGTGTGCTGAAAAGGAGATGTAGCTGAGTGTGCAGAGGGTGAAGTGACAGAGATGTAAGAAGTGTGAGAGTAGTGTGAGTGAGTGAGAGAGTAAAGAGTGAGGGAATGGTCTAGTAGTGTGTGAAGGAATGTAACAGAGTAGAGAGAAGAAATGTGTGTAGAAGAGAGATGTGGAGCTATGTAATAAAGAGATGTAACTGTATATAGAAATATATGGCTGTGCAAGAAGAGATGTATGTATTTAAAGAGAGAGATATAGCTGTATGTAAAGAATATAGCTGTGTGGAGACAGATTTCCAGAAAGAGACTTTTTAAGATGAAGTAAAAGAGAAAATTACCACCAGAATGCGTGTTTTCTTCCTAATATCCCTTTGGTAGAAAAAGTCCAGCCCTCACCGCATTTGTGGATTTTTCTGCATTCCCTCGTGCTGCCTGGAGGCTGGCCCCTCACAGGCAGTGGTATAGTTTGCCTTGATAAATCATGACCAAAAACAACTTGGGGAGGAAAGGGCTTATTGGGCTTCCATGTCCCATTCACAGCTGATCACCCAGGGAAGTCAGGGCAGGAACCATGGAAGAAAGCTGCCTACTAGCTTGTCTCCAGGTTCATGTTTATCTACTTCTTAGACCTCACAGGACCACCAAACAAGAGGTGCCACTCCTCATAGGGAGCTGAGCCTGCCCCTTCATTAATTAGCAGTTAGGAAAACACCAGGAAGCTAGGCCACAATGGGGAGGGTATATCCTCAACTGAAGGTCCCTCCTCCTAGGCGAATCTAGCTTGTGTCAAGTTGACAAAACCTAGTAAGCACATCATTGTGGAAGGAGAGAGCTGACTTCAAAGTCGTCCTCTGACTTCTAGAAGTCGTCCTCTGACTTCTGGAAGTACCGTCCTAACCACACACATACACAACAATAATAATCAAAAATATAAATAAATGGCATGATGATTTCATTTTTTTCCTGGTTCCTATCTTTTGTAGTCATATTCCTCATAGAAAACAAAAAGCTAACCTTCTTATGAAGTGAGTTTATTTCTTATTCAAGACCAATCTACCCACCTCTTCTTATTGATGTATTTTCTTCTTTCTTTGGATTCCCTCTAAAAGTCTATCACAGTCAATACTTAGCCATCAGGTTTCAATCCATTCTTTTTTTAAAGAAAAGATGTCACCATGTAGCCCTGGCCAGCCTGGGACTTGGTATATAGGCCAGCTGGCCTCAAACTCAGAGATCTGTCTGCCTACCTCCCAAGTGCTGTGATTAAATGTGAGTGCTCAACTTCTATTTTTCAATGTCTTAGCCAAACCATACCTAAAGTATAAACTACTTTTTTTACTCCCTGTGAGTTCTGCTACTCAAAACAGCTGGTTGACCTTTTAAAAGGGCACCGAGAACTCCTAACTGCTACATTCAATGGACAAACTTCTTTCCTCCTTTTCTACTTCCTTAAAAAAAAAAATTAAACTTCTTGCCGGGCAGTGGTGGCACACACAGTGGTGGCAGATCTCTGTGAGTTCAAGGCCAGCCTGGTCTACAGAGAGAGATCCAAAACAGGCTCCAAAGCTACACAGAGAAACCCTGTCTCCAAAAAAAAAAAAAAACAAACAAACAAACAAAAAAAACCAATAAACTTCTTATAAATTTCATTTTTACTATTTATGTGTGTGTGTGTGAATGTATGTGGTTGATATATTGTGCACCCCAATAAACTTATCTGGGGGTCAGAGAACAGAACAGCCATTATATTAAACATAGAGGACGGGTGGGTGGTGATGGTGCACACCTTTAATCCCAGCACTCGAAGAGGCTTTTAAGCTTTTAGCAGCAGTTCAGCTGAGATCCATTCATGAGGACTCAGAGGCTTCCAGTTGGAGGAAACAGGATCGGCTGAGAAGTTGGTGAGGTGAGATTAGCTGTGGCTTGTTCTGCTTCTCTGATCTTTCAGTGTTCACCCCAACACCTGGATCTGGGTTTGTTTTTATTAATAAGACCTTTTTAGATTCGTGTTACGTGTGTATGTGTGTGTGTGTGTGTGTGTGTGTGTGTGTGTGTGTGTGTGTGTGTGTGTTGATAAGCATGAAGTCAAAGGACAACTTGTAGGAGTCAATTCTTTCCTTCCGCCTCTACCATGTGGGACTCAGGGACTAAACTCAGGCCATCAAGTGCCTTACTGCCAAGCCATCCCCATAGCCTTTTAAAACACACACACACACACACACACACACACTCACACACACACAACTACTTTGGTTCATGTTGTTTCGTCTCCAGGTTTTGTGCATGTTCTCGAGCATGTATGTGTGTGTATGTGTACATATGTGTGTGGGGTGGGGTGTGTGGAGGATGAGGTTTGACTAGGGTACGAAGGTTAGACGATAATGTGGGAAACAGTAAGTTCTCTCTTTCCAACATGGCGTCCTGGAGCTAGAACTAACGTTCTCTGGCTTAGAAGCCAGCGTCTTTACTGGCCGAGCCACCTCTCCAGCACAGCAGACCTAACTCTTGATGCAGTCTCCATGTTGGCATTCTGGAACACCTCTTGTCCCCCACATCTGTCCTCACACCCCCACAAGTGACCTTAAATGAATGTTTATTGTCCAGTTATTCTCCTTCACGAGCTCACCTACACCGAGACTTAAAGTACTGCTAAGTAGTTCCTACTTATTACCTTTCTATTTCTCGTCTGTCACTGGCCAAACAGCTTTCTGAATGTCACTGGAGCTTCTTAAAGTTACAAGGTTTAAGGCCAGGTGTAATAAATGGCACATGCTTTAATCCCAGCACTCCTGAAGCAGAGGCAGGTAGAGCTCTTGGTAATTTGAAGCCAAGCCTGGTCTACATAATGAGTCCCAGGCCAGTCAGGGCTACATATTGAGGTCCCATCTTTAAAAACGTTGGAGAGTTTAAAATAGGTTCTGAAGGATAAATGGTACAATCATTTATCCAAATGCAAATACAGTTGACCTCACCCTTACTTTGAGTGATTCATTTCAAGATCTCCAATGGACACACGTCTAAACACACTCCAACAGATTTCATCATGACATTCAGGAGGACATACAATTTAAAAACTATGAATTGCTTTTTCTGGATTTCCTGTTTCCTATTTTCGGCTATGAGCTGGCCAGGAGTAAAAGAAACCATGGAAGATAAACCTGACAAATGTCTGTAAACAGTGAAGCAAGAACCTACCTTAAACTTGATTATTAGTTTCTTCGTTTCCACAGAGGCCTCTCCTGCTTTCTTCTGTTCGCCATCAGAATCACTGTGAGAATCTGATGATTTGGAGTCTTCTAGGGTGTCAGGTGACTTTTCATTCTCCTTACTTGACGGCACATCACCAGTGTGTGGAATGAAATCATCAGGTTTTTCCCATTTGGATTCTGCTCAACACATTTTAATAACTGTATTACTTATTTAGCAATACTTCTTAGCAATACAACACTTTTTTTTATCATGTAGAATTATTAAATACATTATACACACACACACACATACACACATACACACTTTATCAAGAAAAGAGCTCAAAAACCTCTCATTTTTTTATTATTCAGAAAACAGGACAATCTGCATTTACTAACTCAAACCCTAGATGTGGGCAGTGGGTGATAGTTTTAAAAATCTCCAGTTTACCTGAAAACAATTTCAAGAAACATACTGAGAATGACTTTACAGAGCATTTCCTGAAGCTTACCACAAAGATTGCCTGGGTTCTTGCAATCGTGATGAACTGAATACATGACTTTCACAGTAAAGGAATCCCAACTGGCTGGACTCTACCGCCATCTACTGTTCACTGGGCTTCTAGAGACATCCAAGTCTTTCTAACTGTCTTGTCTCTACTTTTAGTTTAGTGAAAAGGAGAGAAACTATACAATTTGTTATCCAACTGAGACAATTTTAAGAGTGAAGGAGACTAGGAGACAGAAGCAGGAGGATTTCTGTGAGTTCAAGACCTGACTGGTCTACTTGGTGAATTCCAGACCAGCCAGAGCTACAAAATAAGACTCTGTCTAAACAAGTAAACAAGAGAGAATGTGACTGCTCACTGCACCCATCAGGGTGAACTCCGCCCAAGCCCAGAGGACACGTCCTCTTTCTGAAGAATGACCACAGGCTCAGTGACTTCACTGGTAAGAAGCTGCTGTGCATCCAAGTTAGGTTTGTATTATTATAAAGTCCTCATATTAACAGGCTGTATGATCTCCATAAAGACCCAGTACTTCACTTCTATGGTACAGAAACACTGCTCTCACTCTGCAGAATGCGTATCTGTTTGAAAGGGTAAAGACCATTTCTTCCTAAAAGGTGCACTATAGGCTCTGGGAAATAAGACTTAGAAACACAGACAAGAGCCAGGCTGATGGCAGCAAGTTAAGTGTGAGGACTGACAAGGAAGGACGCCCAGTGGTACTGGCTGAGAAACCTGAGGGCATTTCATTGAAGGAACTTCAACTACCCAAATGGCAACATTACTTCATTGCTCATAGTCATAAATATCAACATGAACATGGTCAAGTTTTAATATCGTCTGGGCCCCCAGTTCTTTCTATTCTTCAGTCCTGTTGTTTATATACCTGGGATGTATGCTGGGAGAAACAAGAAATTATTTATAAGAAACAAGAAATTATTCAGGAAATAAAAAAATTATTTATTGAAGACCAGCTGGATATGGTGGCAGAGTCTTGTAATTGAAGCCCTTGGGAGATAGAGGCAGGAGGACCAAGACTTCAAGGTCCTACTCAGCCAACTACTGAGCTGGAGGCCAGGCTGAGATAGTTTCAAAAAGCCAGAAAAGGAACACCAAAAACTGAACTGAAGGGTGGTTATATGAGAAACTCTGTGGTTTTCTAAGACTTTCTGTACTTTTTTTCTTCTTTGTGTGACAGGGTCTCATGTATCCCAGACTCATCATCTGAGGATGTCCTTTGAACCCATTCTTCCTGACTCCACCCATCATGGGATTACAGGCATGTTTGATTACACCTGTTTTTTATTTTTTGGAGTGTATGGTATATGCCTGTAGGTGTCCATGTATGTAGGGGTGTGCTTGCCTCTGTTTTTGCATGTAGAGGCTAGAGGACTACTTCTGGTACATTTCCCCATCAATTCTCCACTTTATTTATCTTTCAGGGTATTGTCTCTCACTGAACCTAGACTGGCCACCCAACAAACCCTGGGATTTGCTTGTCTCTGCTCACCCAGTGTTAGGGTTACAGGTGCTTGTTTCCACATCTTGCTATAGGGGGGCTGGGGATTTGAACTCAGGCCTTCATACTTGGACAGCAAGCACTTTACCCAACAAGTCATTTTCCTAGTCCCATACCCAGATTTATGGAATGTTACAGACTGGACCCAGGACTCTGTACATGCCGGGCAAACACTCTACCAATTAAACAACATCTCTAATACAAGGTTTTTGTTTGTTTTGTTTTTCAAGACAGGGTTTCTCGTGTAGCTCTGGGTGTCCTGGAACTCACTCTGTAGATCAGGCTGCCCTCTAACTCAGACATCTGCCTGCCTCTGCCTCTCGAGCAGTGGGATTAAAGGTGCGTGCCACCACCATCCAGCTCAGTTTTGTTTGCTTTCTTTATTTCTTTTTTTGGTAACTGGAGGGACAGCCGTGGGTGCTGGGAACTGAACTCTGATGTTTTTGGTTGTGAGCCTAGCCTTTTAAGAGCTGAGCTATCCCTCCAGCCCCAGTTTTGTTGTTTTCTTTTTTTAATTAATTAACTCATTTATTTTAGGTGCATTGGTGTTTTGCCTGCATGTATTTCTGTGTGAGAGTGTTGGGTCCCCTGGAACTGGAGATACAGACAGCTGTGAGCTGCCATGTGGGTGCTGGGAATTGAACCCAGGTCCTCTGGAAGAGCAGCTGGTGCTCTCAACCTCTGAGCCATCTCTCCAGCCCCAGTTTTGTTTTCTTAAAAGAAGAAAATGGTGAAGGCCTAGGTGTAGTTCAGTGAGAGAGCATGAGCTAGCAGGCATTAGGTCTCAGATTTGATCCTTACCACGACAAAAGGTGAACTAGGTGACAACCACAGGTACTTAGAAGGGAAATTATTAAATCAATCCTAAGATTCAGTAATATTAGACAGTTAAAGATTCTTTTTTAAAATTTGCAAATGCCTTATTAATTAAGAACATTAAGCAGACATAGAGAATTGGCTCAGCAGTTAATTCTTTTTTTTTTTTTCTTGAGACAGGGTTTCTCTGTGTAACAACTCTGGCTGTCCTGGAACTTGCTTTGTAGAGCAGGCTGATCTCAAACTCAGAGATCCATCTGCCTCTGCCTTCTGAGGCTGGAGTTAAAGGCATAGTCACCACCGCCCAGCTCAACAGTTCATTTTATTGTTCTCACAGAGTACCAGGGTGGTTCAATTCTAGCACCCACACGGTGACTCAAAACCATCCATAACTACAGTTCCAGGAAATCTGATGCTTTCTTCTGGCTTCCTTGGGCACCAGGCTCACATATGGTGAGCATAAATCCATTAAAAAAAGAAAAAAAGTAACATTGATGCATAGTACATTTTATAAACAGAAATCTTTTAAGTATCCCTTATAAAAGATAGTATATAATACCTGGTACAGAAATGATTATTACATTACAGTTTCCAAGTCTGGATGATATATTCTCTCACATGCAGTTTTGGGTAGTTTTAAGTTAAAATAATCAAAGATAACACTTACCTCCTGTTTCTGTATTATAATAATAGGTGTAACCGTCTTCACTTAAGCCCTCTACCCAAATGGCCTTTGCTGCTGTCTAATAGGAGGGAAAAAACAGTACACTGAGAATAATGACAATAGCTAGCTACTGAATAACTAAGGCAAATGTGGCTATCCTTTCTTTTCCACCTGGCACCTGCGAGTCGAGAGCGGTGATAAAGATCATGCAGCACAGCCTGCTTTTCTAGTCACCACTAACTTTCAGACAGAGAATGTCTCATCTCTCTAAGCCAGGAATCCAGCTGGACAGACATGTAAACAAGAAACGACTTCAAACTGACTAACAATATGTATCCTGAATAGGGTTTTTTGTGTGGAGCTATCCCTGTTCCTTCTCTACCCAGCCGTCTAACAGAAGGATTATAGGAAGGAGGAGGCCAAGCTGGGGGTTGAAGAGAACTGCTTATTTGGAAATAAATTTGCTTAACAAAACTCCACAAAAAGCTACAGTCACCAGAATTTGTTTAGCACAGGGGTAGAATGCTGGCTATTCACAAAGCCCTAGGAGCAATCCCTAGTACACAAACCCGACCAGCTACCCAACTCTGAACTCTGAACTTGCCCACCCTAGAAGGCAATCACTTGAAAGAATGAATGAAGCAAAGACACCATAAATATGTTATAGTTACCTTTTTTAAGTTCCCTTGAAATCCTTCTGGCTTCTCCCACTGAGATGCTTAAAATAAAATATATTGTAAATTAATTTTGCTTTAAAATAAAACAAATCCCCCAAATTTAACTAGGTAAAAATCTACAAGATAGTCACTACTATGTACAAAACACTACCAAGTAGAAAAATAAAAGAAACAACATATACCCTTAGTGGTGCTGCACAGAATACATGTATTGAACGTTACATAACCGAGAAGAACGGCAGCATGGTCACGAGTTACTGAAACTTCCACAGTAATTACTAGGGCTGGGTAGGACTTTCCTCAGAGGTTAGGGAATTTCTACTTGGTAGGTGATTGTTTTACCATCTCCATGTGCTCTTTAACTCTTCTGTGAGATGCACTGCCTATTGTGGTTTAAATGAGAATGGCCCCAGAGGCTCATATATTCCAACACTTGGTGCCCAGTTGGTGAAACTACTTGGGAAGGATTAGGAAGTGTGGCCTTCTTGAAGGACATGTGTTGCTGACGTAGAGACCTGGAGGTTTCAAAAGCCTACACCATTCCCAGTTTGCTCACTTCCTATGCCTCCTGGTTGTGGATGAGATGTACCCCAAGTGTTTATTTCTAGTTGATTTACTGTTGAACTACAATATTCATTTCACTTAAGACTCAGAGCAAATAAATTGTTAGCAATTCTTACTACTGGGGCTGGGGGAATGGTTCAGTGGTTAAGACACCAGAGGCTCTTCCTGGGGACCCGGTTTGGTTCTCAACACTCACATGACAGCTCACAACCATTTTAACTCCAGTTCCAGGGGATCCAATGTCCTCTTTGCTCCTCCATGGACATTGCACACACATGGTGCACAAACATTAAAACATACAGGTAAAACACCCATATAAAATAGAAATTAAAAAACCCAAAAAACTTATGGAGTAATAAATTCTGCCAAGGATACAAATGCTAAGACAGCACTTCAGAAGTGATGACTAACTTTAAATTCCTGGTCCTCCTGCTTCTACCTCCCAAGTGCTAGGGTTATTGATGTGTCTGCTGCTACAACTACAGCTAACTGTTAGCATGAGTTACCCCATAATTTAATTTTTTTGAGACAGGGTTTCTCTGCGTAGGCTTGGCAGTCCTGGAACTCACTTGGTAGCCCAGCCTGGCCTTGAACTCACAGAGATCCACCTGCCTCTGCCTTCCAAGTGCTAGGATTAAAGGCGTGTGCCACCATGCCTGGCTAGGAACTTACAAGATTTTAATCATGACACTGATTTGCAATGAGCAGGGTATTCTTAGTGTTTTTTTTTTTTTTTGGTTGTTTTGTTTTATTTGTTCCGTCTTACTCTGTACCCCAGGCTGGCATGGATCCCACTATGCTAGTCTCTAATGTGTAGTAATCCTTCTGAGTGCTGGCATTCTAGGGTATATACATCATAACAAAAGGCACAGTTTTCTAAGCTTTGTGGAAAAAGGAAGTTAGTTTCTCACTGCTTAACATATGCCAATATGAAATCAATATTAACTAAAAATCTCAATACAGAAACTGCTGTGTTTTTCTATTTTCTAGTAGTTCTGTGCTTCCACAGCGTACCTCCTGTGATGAGATCGTAATAGTAACAGTGACCATCGGACGTTACTCCTTCTACCCATCTACCCTTTGAAGCGTCTTTCTTTTTCTTTTCCTTTTCCTTTTTCTTCTTCTTCTCTTTCTGTTGAGTTGATGTAGACGTGGGCTGGACAGTGCTGGTCACTGGTGATATACTTGGCTCTGAAATGTCTAGAAAAAAGATAAAGAGGGGTAACTTTACCTTTTTAAATGTTGTATTAGCCAGAAGCCTGGCAAAGCCCAGCACAGTGACGCATGCCTGTAATTCCAGCTACTCAGGAAGCAACTATTCAGGAGGCTGAGACAGAACAACTTATGTGTTTGAGACTAGCCTAGATAACAATTTTTAAAAACAAAACCAAAGTTTGACAAGACTGTTTTTGGGAACGAAACACATTATAATAAAGTTGTCTGGATACAATCGTGGAAGACTATATAAGGGGAGTGAAAAAAATTGTAGTTGTACGGGTTATTTAGTTCATTCACACATTAAAGGTTATCCTAAGGGCTGAGGAGTGTGACCCAGTGGTAGTGTACTCCTACCAAGAATGCCCTGGGCTGTAGGTTTGATCTCAGCACACCACGAGGAAAACAAAACAATTTACAACTCACTCTAAAGAACAGGTATCCCTGCCCACAGCAACGAAGGCCAGTGTTGACGACAGGGGGAATCGTGTCAGAACACCGGGACACACCAACAAACGAGCTACGAAGGCGAAGGTACTAAGCTGCTTCCCACTGGCTTCTCGCTTCTCCACACCCTTATAAATCCCGGGTCAAGCCGGGCACTGGTGGTGCCCGTTCTAGTCCAGCACTCTCAGCAGAGGCCAGCCTGGACTAGAGTGAGTTCCAGGATAGCCAGGGCTACATAGAGAAACCCTGTCTCTAGAGAAACAAAAGCCCTCTAGGTCAAAAATACCTGCAGACAAATCAAAAACAAAAAAAACCCCACGCACTAAAAATACTGTTAAATTTGACTACATGGTTACATTTTTTGTATAACAAAATGAAAAGGAAAAAAAAAGCAAAAACATAGAGGCTAGAAAAATGAAAAAATTAACAACAAATAAGTTAATGTCCCTAATAATGACTTGTTAAAAATCAAATGTCCTAACAGAAAACATACAATTCAGAGAATGAATATTTTCTTTCACTAATATTCAAAGAAATGCAAATAATATAGTTTCTTTTTATAGATTAATACTGAAAAGTCTAATGAATCTCCATTATCATCTATGGGTATATACATAAATGTGAAAAAAATGTTTTCATGGCTTTCTGCTCAAAAGACAGCTAATATTTCCAATGACAGTTAACAACTTTTTTATTTCTAGAAAAATGTAAATCAGATCCACCATTTGTACAGCTAGCTTGTCATCAGCTATAATATAGTACATTCATCCTTTGATACTACATGTCTTACCCAGAAGATGAACCTACAGAAAAAAACAAACACAAAAAGATACATTCATGACAGGCTGCATTTTTTTTTTTGTTTTGTTTTTTGAGACAGGGTTTCAGGGTTTCCTCTTTGTAGCCCTGGCTGTCCTGGAACTCACTCTGTAGACCAGGCTGGCCTCGAATCAGAGATCCGCCCGTCTCTGTCTCTGTCTCTGTCTCTCTCTGCCTTCTGAGTGCTGAGATTAATGGTGTGAGAAGATCTTTAACAGACATAATACACATAATCCAAAAGGATCCCACAGGGGCATAGTGGCTCATCTCTGTAATCCCAGCCTGCCTGACTACCTTGAGTTTGAGGCCAGCCTAGGCTACATAGTGAGCTGCAGGCTAGCCAGAGCTATATAGTTGAGACTCTGTATCAAAACAGACAAACCAATACCCCCACCATGGACAGGAAGATAACTGTATGTATATTTAAAATTAATCTGTGCTGAGTATGGTGGCATACACCTTTAATCCCAGCATTTGGGAGCCCAGCCTGGTCTACAGAGAGCTCCAGGGATAGCCAGGGCTACATAAAAAAACCCTGTTTCAAAAAACCAAAAAATTCACCTTAAAATGGCACTGAAATGGAATCTTTTAATCTCTCTATATAAAATTAGTAAGTCTTCCACTAACACTTCTCCAAGATACCTACCTGATTTTTCCTCTCAAAATGCTTTATGTTCAACTGAGTGTAATGATGCATGGCTGTAATCCCAGAACTTGGGAGCCTGTCCGACATCACATAGTGAGTTTGAGGCCAGTTTGAACTAACCAGTGAGACTCTCATTCACTAATAAATCAATGGCTTTTTGGAACCACATGCCCCTTCTTTTCCTTAAATACTAACATTTAGACTACATTAAGCTGACAACTGTTTTTATTTAATGGCAGCAATATTTTGTTTAAACCTATAATTAAGGGTTCTTTTTATTAGAGACTAAAGAGTATCATTTCACGCTGAGACATTTGGCCTGGACTGAGCAGGAGGCCCTCCCCAGGGGCTTGTGTTGTACACAAGGTGCTGCTCAGGTAGCCGACCGTCCGGCTGCTCCCGTCTCCTTGCTGCGGAAGACAGCTTCTCACAGTAGCTGTGGTGTTGAAGGGAGAGAGTCATAACCGGATAAATTACCGAGAACAAGTGACTGTTGCTATCGCATGACAACTCAAGGCTCAGAAAAGGATCTTCCACGTCTCACCTCTCCCAAGAAACCTCTCTCAGAAAAAAGGGGTGGGAAGGCTGTAAGAGATGGAGATGGTGTAGTGTGGTGTTTTCCCCTCTGGGTACAACATGATCACACCACCACTATCTGGAGGAGAGAGTACCCTGATCCAGTCACAGCAAGGAAAGAAATAAGCAACTGACACAGTGATGGTCAAGTACATGCTGACGGTACTGGACTACTGACATTTCCCAAGAGGAGGGAGGGGACACTCAAGGACCTGGTCCTTCTCACCTAGATTCTAGCTATTATTCCATCGTGTTCCAGCTCCCCTCCCAACAGGTGATCTTGGGAGATGCTGAAGTAAAAGGCAGTGAAGGGTTAACTGAAAAGAGCCTCCATGATGCAGAGTCTCCAAGGTAGCGACCTATGATGGGGTGTGTCTTTGATGACGTAGCTGTCCTGGAGTCATCCATGCACTTATAAGTAACTCCTCATCCATGCTGTTTAGTTAAGTCCAATAAAGTCAGTGGTTCACAAAAGCAAAAATCCAAATTGTCTGAGCACCCGGACCACTACCTGAGATCAACAGTTAAGATCTACTCTATACCTGGTTTAGGAACCTGGCTCCCAGCTTGCTGGAGGCTGTGGCGCTTTAGGAGGTGGGCCCTGGCTGGCAGACTACGTGAGCGGGGGCCGCCCTCCAGGTTTCTGGCTACCTTCAGGCTCCGGCCTGCTCCTCTGCCTCTGGTCTGTGTTGTAGGAATAAGCTTCCATCTCGGGCACCCACCACTGTGCCGCCCCAGCCATGGTGCACCCAAACCTCTGACACCGACCCACAGCTGACAGTCTGTCCTGTACATTGTTGCTGTCAGGTCTTTTGTTACCAGAAAAGTAACTAAAACAATCTGTCATGGAGGAAAGCTCACAAAAACTTCCTACTTTAGAGCCTGAACTCAACCAGATGGAAACATCCATAACTCAAACCCTCAAAATAATCTGCAGCTTGAGGTAAAGTTGACTATTTGTCAGGAAAAGGCAACTCCTTCATTATATAGCCAATCATATAAATAGATATAACTCAGTTCTGGCCATGTGGAAAATATATAACTATAATGCAAGTTTTTTTTTTTAAATTTTTTTTTTTAATGAGTAGCGCCTGTAACAATGAGTATCTAAAAGAGAAGCCTCAAGGTTTTGGAAATGAATCATTCAGCTAGGCTGGAGCTAGGCCCAGATAACTGTAAAGGTAGTATGGTTGATATGAATAAAGGTGTCAGAAGATAAAGCATTAAAAACAAAACATGGGGCCAGCAAGATGGTTTGGTGCATTATGGCATTTGCCACTGACCTGAGTTGATTTTGGGGACCCACATGGCGGAAGGAGAGAACTGACCCTTTCAGGTTGTCCTCTGACCTCCACACATCATCAACATAAAGATAAATAAGTAAATAATGCAAAAAGCAAAAGAAGCCAGGCATGGTGCCTCGTGCTTTTTAATTTCCGAAGGCCTAGGTAGGAGGCTCACAAATTCAAGACCAGTCCAGGATATTCTGGGAGACTGTATCTCAACAACAAAACAACCACAACAATAGCAACAGCACAAAATATAAGCACTTCAAAGTCCACATTCTAAATGAGACTATGATACACACGAAAAGCACTAGAATATTTTCAAGTATGGAACTCCTATACGGAAACAATGAAGAGGTCCCTCAGCACGACCCGTGATGTTCCTTTTAAAGCACCTTGCTGATACCTTACCTGACTCTAAGCCAAGCCGTTTCAGATCCTCTTGGTATGCCTTCAGGGCAGCTGCCTCCATGGCGGCAAACTCCTTGGACGCCTTTTCTTCTTCCTTTGCCTTATCCAGGCTTTTCTGTTTAATCTGTGTAAGAACACGTGAAGGTGACGGTGAGAGATGGAGTCAACATTCGCACAGAAAATGAACACAGAGTCAACTGGAATTACCTCACTGATCCTCTTGGCCACATTTTCCTTGTGATTCTTTCCTCTCTCATGAAATTCAACACTCTTGAAAATGGAAAAGGGAAAGCATCATTAACCTCACAGCAAACTAATACTATGAATACAGAGCTAAAATGTAAGATTAAAATGGCAGAAAATATAAAAATGATTAGTTTTAATGCAAAGTGACCCCGGAATCAAATGACACTAGTGGTCGAGGCAGATTATCGTGTTCGCCCACCAGATGTTCTCTGGTTCTTACAATGAGCCAGGATGACCACACTAACAGCACAAAGTGTGGGGAGCAACTTTCAAGAAGAAGTATGTCTCAGCTGAGCAGTGGCAAATACCTGTGACCCGAGCACTTTGAAGGATGAGGCAAGAGAAACCTGAGTTCAAGTTCCAGGCCAGCTTAAGGTATGTGCTCAAGTAACACCCATCTCAAAACAAAAAGAGAGTAGTAGTAACAACAATAAAACTGTCCCAAACCCAAAACCCCACCAAATAAACAAAAGCCCACGACAACAACAAAACACTACCTTTCAACATCAAATGTCCAAACTGGCTAAGCCTCTCATTTCATTTTCTGCTTTGCTATATTAGAGACATAAAGAATATCCTTGAGGACTTGGTCTTTAAAACATTAAGAAAGATAAGTATGTAAAGAAGTCCTCCTTTGGGCAGGTAAGACGGCTTGTGGGTCAAGGTGTTTGCCACCACGCTTGCCCACCCGCCTCCACCCCCAGGACCCGCAGGAACACTGTCCTCTGACCTGCGCCCCGAGGAACATGCACACCAACACATCTACACCCACCCACCCACATTTAAAAAAATTCCTCACATTGTGCAAAGTGATGTAATAAACAAGGTTATTCAGTGCAGCACTGTGTGGGGCAACAATCTTACAGTCTGTCTGCTGGGGACTGGCTGAGTGAACTGCGTACATTCCCACAGACACCTTCATGATATACTGTTCAGTTAGAAACAAAACTGTGCTATTTGTCATCATGATGGAGTAAAATACACGCATATGGCAACAATGAAGTATAGAGGGGGGGGGGGAGGAGGAGTTAACTTTTGAAGGTCAACAGTAATTAAGTTTTGACATAGATGGCTGAGTGAGCACTGGGACCTACTTAAATAATCAGAAATTCTCAATAAATTATAGATGTCTGATGGTAAGTAATAGAAAATCCCAGGAAAATTCCTTAAAATAAATGCTGTCAATCAAATTCTGTATGACACATTAACCGAGCTATTCTAATAGACTCCTATGAATTCTTCATTAAAGTGAGAGTTTGTAAAGCAAACAATCATCTATTGTTCCTATACCGGGTTACCTACAGGTGATACACCATACAAAGAACACCATGTGAAAGGACCATTCAAAACTGATTATGGTTTGTAGTTAACAGTTAAATTACTAGATATTTAGGGAGATGCAGACAAACTTCTGGAAAGATAATTTATTTTCAGTAACTCATAAAACTGGCTTTACCGCCTAGGTACCTCCAGGGATGGGTCATTTTTTAATTTGTGTGGTTTTAAAAGCTCATGGCAGTTTTAGTAAGGGTCAGTCTAAGCCAGATAAAATATGCACACTCTTTAGCAACAACCAGTAAAGACCAAAACAAAAGAGCAATACTCCTTGAAGCCAAAGACCTCACAGGTGATTTCCAAGTGTTTACTGAGCTGGGAACACAGCTCAAAAGACGGCAGCATTCCTTTGTGCACCACAGTTCTGCCAAGTAAAAAGGTTATGTACGTATAAAATACCATTGCTTTTGGTTTGATTTCGTTTTGTTTTTCAAGACGGGGTTTCTCTGCATAGTCCTGGCTGTTCAGGAACTCACTCCTGTAAACCAGGCTGGCCTCGAACTCACAGAGATCCGCCTGCCTCTGCTTCCCCAGTGCTGGGATGAAAGGCGTTCGCCACTACTTCCTGGCAAGATCCTGAACTTTTTTAAACATTATTTTATGGATGTGTGCGCCTGTGTTAAGTTCAAAAGCACCCCATGAGTACAGCCACCAGTGAAGGTCAGAGGAGGCTGTGGGATCACCTGGAACCCGGAGTCACGGGTGGTTATGAGCGGCCATGGGGTGCTGGGCACGGAATCCCATCCCCTCTGCAAGAGCTGGAGGTGCTTTTTACTGTGGAGCCATCTCTCCAGTCCCCACATTCTGGTTTTTAATATAGTATGTTTGTATAGGACAGATCCGAAAGGGAAGAAAGCCAGTTGACTTTTTGCTTTAAAAGTTGGAGCTAGGTACCAGGCGTGGAGCACGCCTTTAATCCTAGCACTAGGGAGGCAGAGGCAGGCGGATCTCTGTGAGTTCGAGGCCAGCCAGGGCTACAGAGGGAGTGCCACGAAAGGCGCAAAGCTACACAGAGATCTCTCGAAAAACCAAAAAAAAAAAAAAGTTGGAGCTAGGCTATAAGCATAATGTGTTTTTTGGTTGCTATCTTTGTATTTCTTGAGAGGGGACAATGATGGTCTTACAAATTTCTATGGAGAACAAGAAACATAAAAGAAAAAGTATGATTTTTTTTTTAAAAGAGGCAAGGAGTTCCATAAACATGGATGAGATTACCCACTCACGGTCCATTTCCTCGAAGGCCACAGAAATAATTAGGCCTTGAAATCAAAGTTAGATTGATGACCAAAGGGGAAATCAAAGAAAAGAAATCTTCCTAGGTTTTGAAAAATCAGGAGCACAACCCATGAAAGTGGTTTGTAAACTGTACTTAGATCAGAAAGCAACATGTCACATGAATATTTTACTAGAAATTTCATACAGGCCTGTTGTCTGCTATCCAGCACTTGCAGTAATCACAGAATTTCTTTGGTTGTGACTTCCAGTAGTCGGCCCTGAAGAAAGGAAAAACAACTCTCAGTTTATCCAAGAATTGGAAGAGAACCGTCATGCTCTGTAAAATTTGGGATAGAAAGTTGCCGAACGGCTTCCGTCTTAGCAAAGCACTTTTATTTATCTACGCGAAGCTAAATTCCTCGTGGAACCGCTTTCCACCAAGGTAATCACGGGCTGCTTCTCCTCCTCGCTACTCCCAAGGAGGGAAACAGAGGAAGCTATTTCCCTTTTCCCTGCTTAGCTAATTCACTTGTTTCGGGGACGTCTGCGGCGTCCACGCCGCCCGGGCCCCCGGGACGGACAGCCGGGCAGGGGCGGGACCCGAGTCCCCCGGCTGGGGCTGAAAGGGCGGCCGCGTCTCCCCCGGAGAACCGGCCCGGCAGGTCGGGCGGCCCCGGGGTGAGCGGAGGGGCGGAAGGGGGAGGAGGAGGAGGAGAGAAGCGCACGCGGCCGCCGCGCGGCTCAGGTCCGACCCGACTCACATGACCGCGCCGGCTCCGCGCGTAGCCCCGCGATCCCGCT